GCTCCTGTGAGGATGCCTCAATGCTGGTAGTACTTCCAATATTGATATCATTTATAGATAGTGGCTGGCACTAGGATCCAGGATGTGCCTTTTGTCCTGTTTGGAACTCTTAAGCTGGACATATCTATCTCCTGGTGAGTGACGATGATGAAGGCAAGTAAATCCAACTGCCGAATCTCAAGTAGAACGAAACGCGCATTCAGGATTCCACTGCTATCCACTATCCATTGTTACTTTAATTTTTCGTGTTACCTCCATACTGTAAAACCTATCTCTTACACGCCACAGAAACAACGAGAAATCATTTGAAAGAACAAGCGGAAACAGTGTTCAAATGAAGTTTTTAACCTTAGCCATCCACTTAATTTGACATTCATAAGTTGCTTAAAGATGACCTTTTCCTTCGAATTTACCTTTTTTATCCCTTATTATTCTCAGATAACTAGTGTCAACAATCGGTTATCATAGTTAATTGTTGTTTAATAGTATCAATAACATATTAATTATGCAACGACCTGCTCTTACTTTCACAGTGTGACTGTTTAAAATTACTTTTGCGACTATGTTTAATATTTAAAGAGAGACTACTAATTCCATATTAGATTTGTTTATTTGATTGATAACACTGATATTATTTACTTAATGACGTTCATCGAATCAACACCAACACATGTAATAGAAATGATGCAACACCTACACCAGAGATAGGGAAAACTTTACTACCAATAAAAACAAAGAATATCGGGTGACAGGACTATGAAGATTAGATATCGAAACTAGTGAGATTACATTGATATGATTATGAGCAATAAGTTATCCTCGAAACATCGCCATCAAGTAAGTAATACTGCAACACTATGTGTTATAAATCGAATAAACAAATTTAATATGCAATTAAAATCTACCACATTGCCCAAGTTTTATACTTATATTAATGAGACCACCAAATCGGTTTTCATACATTACATTGATAAAAAAGCTGCATAGTGATATTGATTAGTTGATGAAAAGTTAATTGAATTAACAGAACTATAAGAAAGGATATAGAAAGAACGACGAATTAATGGTATCCTTCAATGTTACAGCATTATACACATCAGTCAAACCATAACTACTCATTGATACTACGTATCGTGTTCTCATTGAAGATTCAAGTCTTTCGAAAGGCATAAAACGTTATTCTTCAAGTCTGATTGAACTCAATGGTCTTAGTCTGACAACACACTTCTAATTTAATGGGAAGATATCCAAATAGGTGAAAAGAACTGCGTTGGGATTACTGATATCCGGACTAATTGCAGAAGCAGAGATGCACAAACTGGAAGCCATCATTTTGTCTGTAATCATACCCAAAATTTGGATCCGTTATGTGGACGACACCAACCAAAAGGATGAATTATAAATCACAGTTTGATCAACAACGTTTTCAGTGACATCAAATTCGCAATGAAGAAGGAGTAGAACAAACAGCTACTATTCCAGGATGGTTTGATCAGTAGAACCATTGCCGGAAAATTGGAAACTCAAGTGTACATGAAGTCAGCGCAAAATAAACAGAGCCTCAACTACAGTAGCAACAACCCACAAGATCAGTTGCGCGCAGACTCTATTCAAAAGAGCGAGATCACACTGCAGTACAACAACTTCACGGAGAAACAAAGAAAATTACTTGATGTCTATCCTAAAGAAGAGCGGCTACTGCCGAAAATTTATCAGAAAATGCCTATCCCATTCATCATCAGCTACAAAACTATCCACTAAAATCAACAAACGGATCAGATATTCTTATGGAGGTTTCCCTCTCGTCACCTAATTACATAGATGTTGACCTGATCATAGGTGAATTTTCTTTAGATCTAGAATATGCAGATGACATAGTCCTGTTAGGTGAAGACGCTGACAAGATGCAGAGTCTTCTGAACACTTTGAGTGGGAATGTGAGAATGTTTGGGATGCGATTTTCACCACCCAAATGCAAATTTTTGCTCCAGGACTGGTCTTCAGCGGTACCGCAGCTAACAATAGAGAGTGAAGTGGTTGCGTGTGTTGACCACTTCACCTACCTGGGAAGTAGGATCAACCCTGGTGGGTTAGTTGCCGATGAGATCTCTGCACGGATACAAAAGGCTCGACTGGCTTTTGCCACTTTGCGCCATCTATGGCGCCGCGTGATATTCGTTTGTCTACAAAGGGTCGCGTGTACTGCATAGCAGTCCGGTCTGTTCTACTGTATGGCTGTGAAACATGGCCATTGAAAGTGGAAGATATAAAAAGGCTTCAAGTGTTTGACCACCATTGCCTTCGTAGTATACGACGTATTCCGTGGTGTCACCACATCAAGTGAGTAATGCAGAAGTTAGGTGTCGAGTTTTGGGGAGAAGAGGTAAGTCAGTCGACGAGGTTGTGAACCTTCATCGATTGAGATGGTTGGGACACGTACTACGTATGCCCAGTCACCGATTGCCTCGTCACACAATGTTGGCTGAGGTGGGTCCAGGCTGGAAAAAGGTCCGAGGTGGCCAGACTAAAACATGGCACCAATGTATGAAGTCTCTGACTGTTGGTTTAAGCCATGTAGAACGATGCAGACTAGGTGGTTGGGGTCCACGGGACAAGAGGAACCAGTGGTTGGAGACCCTAGGTGATATGTCTCAGAACCGAAGTCAGTGGCGCAGATGTATACACACATTATCCTCATCTTAACAACGCTATACCGAATCTCACCATTTTATCACTCCTCTTTTCTTTCTTCTCGTACTCTATATTTCTTTTGACTGCATTCACTTATCTTCATCCTTCACCTCACTACATTTTTACTTGATGTGCTGATATGAGGTGTGGCAACTCGGACCGTTACGCAGTAATGCCTGGTCCTATGTTGATAATGATGATGATGATGAACAAACGGATCATCCTACTGTACATAAAGAATATACCAGAAATCACGACAAGATTACTGAGACCACTTGGAATTGGTGTGGATCATTAACCAACAAATCCCCTTCAAACCATATTATGCAGACCAAAGGATTTTTATATCATTATTATTTGTCCCTTGAGTTCCTAGTGGTACATAGGGCTTCAGTAGCACGTCTCCAGTGACCTCTGTTCTCTGAGGTCTTTTGAACCTGGTCCCACGACAGCCCAGAAGCTCTCATTTCTTCCTCACAAGATCTCCTCCGTGTCACCCTCGGACACCCAATTCGTCGCCTCCTATTTGGGTTCCACTCGACCGGCCAGACCTGGCACGTGATGTCCCCGAATGGTCTTCTCAGTGCATACCCAATCCATCTCCACTTCCTTCCACTGCATATTTGTTCAGTGATAGGTTCTTGGTTGGTTCGTTCCCACATCTCCTTGTTACTTATTCTTTCTGGCAATCCATCTGATCTTCAGTAGCGAGCCAGCGTAAGCAGTTGTTGATGAATGTCTGCAGTTTATTGGAAATCCCTTTCGTGACGCACCAAGTCTCTGAACCATACAGAAGCACTGACTTGACTGGATTGGTGTTGAAAATCCGGATCTTGTTCCACATACTGAGTGGAGTGCAGAACATCTCCACACTGATTTCAGGTTAATGAACGCCTGTCTTGCTTTTCCGATTCTGACTGGCTTTGACATCCTCGTCTGTGCCTGTGCCGCCTGTAGTTGAAACAGTGCTTCCTAGATAGGTGAAGGAGGTAACTTCCTTCAAGTTCCTCCCGTTCATGGTGATTGGAGTTTGTTGTTGTTGTTGTTGTTGTTGGAGTTGTTGGCGCAGTATCTTCATCAACTCTGTCTTCTCTATATTCACTTGAAGTCCCGTCTTCGCTGCCTCGCCTCTTCTGTCAACTTGTTAGTTTTCGCCTGTAGATCTTCAAGTTTATGTGACATCAGGCACAAGTCATCAGCGAAATCCAGATCTTCTAGGTTCTTTTCCGCAGTCCAGCTAGCGTATCCCCCTCTTCTCGCTCCCCACTGTTGTCAGCTGCATGATCCAGTCGACCACAATCAGGAATATCATGGGGGATAGTAGGCAGCCTTGTTTCACTCCTGTCTTCACTTCACTACAAAAGCATCACTGAGCTTCCTATTGTGAATTACTTGGCATGTGACGTCTTCATATAGTTGTTGAATGAGATTGATGAAGGTTTGCGGTACTCCGTAGTAATGAAGCAGTTTCCAAATTACTTCTCGATCGACGCTGTCGAAGGCCTTTGGACCAAAGGATGCAACAGCTAAAAAAGATGGACGAAATATCGTTTAAAAAATCAACTGCAATAATTGTGATCGACACTACATTGGACAAAGTGGTCGCCCTCTTCAACTTCGTATGCATGAACACCAATTAGCTATTCAATGTCACAACATTTCGTTGTTTACTTCATTGCACGTGGATAGCTAAGGACATGAATTCAATTTTGAATGTTTAGAAATCCTGGACAGAGGAAGTACAAAGAATATCAAAGAATTCCTAGAAGCTTGGCATTCAGGTCAGTCAGTAATTAATAGATGTATAGACAAAGACCAAGTTTATCAATCAATAAGAAAAGTGATAAATAACAAAACGGTTAGAGGTCAGGCACAG